TTAAATGTAGTGCCACGTGTCATCATATTATTGGTAAAATTAATATGAATTCGCGTTTGAGATACACGCGTTTTTATTTTTCAATTGATTGTCAGTTTGTGTCAAATAGGTATAAATTTTTTAAGGTTTAAGTGTTCAATAGGTACATTGCTTAGTTGAGGTGTTTAAGTGAAATATGAGGACAACTTTAAGTGGCTGTGGATGACTTAGGCCAAAGATATATAATATTTGGACATTTACTTTAATTAAGGTATGGCCATGTACCGTTCCGTACCATTTCAATTTTAGTTTACGTAATGACAATAATTAGGTGTTGATTACTCTTTGGTTATACGTCTAGTTGGATGTGCAATTTTGACTCATCAAAATCAATGTTTATCTCAATATTTTTTAATTGTTGTGATAAAATTACAGCCAAAATAACGAATATATAAAGTAATATGTAAATGTGTCTTTTAATGTAATTTTATTTGATAGTTATGTTCTTGAATTTTGATTTTGCATGTATCAGTTAACACTTAGATTTACAACAAATTGAATAAGTAGTCACACATATCCTACATGATAATTTATGTGAGATACACTTGAATTGATTTATAATTGTCATACAGGACGTTTATTATGCTATGTTGAACGTGTTTTTCTACTTATTTAATTTTATAAAATTTTAAGTGTCTACTTGAGTTATATCGGAAGTATAAATATCTGCTAAAACCAAGTTAAATAGCACATTTATGTATTATGAATGATTGTTATAAAAAAGTTTAATTGTACCGCGAATAACCTTCCTAAAAAACATTTTCTTCTTCTAGGATTTTACCAAACACTTGCATTTAGTAGCCTAATATGAGAATGAATTAAAGACATAATTTTTATATTACTCCTGTTTAAAAAAGAATGATCTTATTTTCTTTTTAGTCCGTTTCAAGAAGACTGGTCCCTTTTTCTTTTTTGGCAACACTTTAACTTTAATTTTTCACGTGGCATGTTTAAGATCACACGATGAAAGGACATTTTGGTATATTTGACACAATTTTAATTTAAAACCACAAGATTAAAAAGTTTTTTTTCTTAAATTTCATTCCAAGTCAAACTAGGCCATTCTTTTTGAAACGAAGAGAGTATAATCTATAGCCTTCTGGTTTCTTGCTAGTTTGCATGTGAGTTTCATGATTAGTTACAAGATGCTAAGTCAAAGAAAACTATACAACTTGGTTTAAAATATTTTGGAAGAAAAAAATTAAATTAATATAAGTACGGATTGATAACTCCATAAGGCTATCGCAGTTCATAAACGTGTATTATAATTTATATATTCCATGATTAAAAAATAAATGAAATTGATCTCCACTTGCATATTTCTTTTAAGTTGAAAAAATAGTTGTAGTAGTTGCTTTCTTGAACTAGAGGTGTAGTTGTCTTAGTTTAAAGGGCGCGGATGATTTACAAAAATAACCTTAGAGATACGTTTATAGTTTTGAACAAAATCTCGTCTGCTCCGTGGTGATGGTGGTGGTGGGGGTTTGTTTGACGAGGTATAAGAGGTCGGATATAGAGGTATAGGTAGATTGAAGAAGTCTTGAGGAGCACTAATTAGACACTATGAATATGATCCAGATAGAAAGATACCGTGATCAGTGATTATGGTACATAGAAGCTAGGTTAGTAGGTAGTCGAGTGTTGTCTAATTCCTTCATTATAGTGTTGTTGTTATTACTCTCCTACTATCTTATTCTTCTATTCTTAAAGTATTACCATGTTATTTGTTTTTGCTTCAGTTATCGAATTATTTATTTGTTGCAATTTTCTCTTCTTCAATATTGTTTCTAAGCAAGAGTACTTCTTTAGTACTGTATTTGTTTTACAAACTTGATTTCTGATATGCGTCCCTTCACTTACTTGAGTAAAGATCTATTTTTTTTCTAAAGTAAAAATTAATCTGCATATACATGATCTTCCTTATGCCATATTTATGAAAATATCGAATATATTATTATTGTAATTCATCTCGTAAGTCGTGACTATGGAATTCACGTGTGCTCTCTTGTATATTGATTTTTTTAATAAAAAAATAGTAAAAATACCATGCTAGTAAACGCATTGAGATCTGCAATTTAAACAACTCAGCAAAACCAAATTTTAAAAAACTTTGCTTTGTCGTATTAGACTACAAAATGGCATATACCAAATTTAAATAGCAAAATTCAAATTTCATTATCCCACACAAACATTTTAGTGACTTATCAATTGGTCAATTTCTAACATCTACACTCTTATCCACCATTAATTTGGTATATCTATATTTTTTTTATTCATAGTAACTAAAATGCTATTAAAATGATACTTATATGTTATATACGTTTAAAACATTGAATACTTTGCTTTCTTAACTAGTAACCAAACTATCCCTAAAGTTTGATAGAAGGAAAGAAGTTACATAAGTTTTGTTTTTTTTTTTGCTTCATTTTGGGGCAAAGATATAAGGTATCAAAAGAAATAAAAAAGCACCAAACCACATGGTTGATAAGTTGACTATAATTTAAAGGAGAACTTTAGATGTTAATAAAATGAAATAAAAAAAAAGAAAAGAAACGAAAGAGATGACACATAAATCTTAGCCACTAAACTTCACGTTCGACAAGTACTTTCAAGTTTTTAGTTATTAACTCAACGATAGAGTGTCATCTTGATATAGTCTTCGGAACAAATTGGATTATCTTTATGTAATCAATATGAATTTTCTAGTAGGATTTATTCCTTGTTGTCGTTCAATGAGACGGGGACGAGAGACTCATAGAATTAATGTGAGGGGCCAAACTTTAGAGAATCGACGTGAGTATATTCAAGATTGTTGTTTTTAATTTAACCTTATAACTTTTAAAATTACCTTCGAGATTTGACTATCTCTAGATCGAATTTGCATCATAGAAAATTTACTATTGCATATTTCATACACTCCACCAAAAGGTAAGCATGCTTGAAACATCTGGTTATGAATGAATCTTTACCATTTTATCGAATGTAACACCACTCAACCAAAACGCAAGCATGCTTGAAACATCTGATTCTAAGTGAATCTTTACCATTTTATCGGATGTAATACTCGATGGATATTAAGTTATGTCTTCCATGATCGGTAGGTCAACATGAGTGAAGTTTGCATTGAATATAATTCCTAAATATTATAAGTAGACTGCACTTATATTAGTAGTATAAGTACTTCCTTTATTTTATTTTATTTTACCAAAAAAACATACCATGTGATGCCAATGTGTACAATACGTGTGATATTTACAATGTCAACTCCTAAAAAAAATACTAAAAATATTCCCTAAAACTCCTATAAATACCATACACTTAAACATTTCCAAATAATCACAACACACTATCAAACATCAACCTTTGTGCTTATTAATCCCTCTTTTAAGCCTTCAATTTATTTTTTTATAACCAAAAAATGGCTACTTTTGAAAGTCCTCTAGGCAGAGAACAAACATTTGCATTTTCTATCACTTCCCAAAATGTTTGCAATAATAGCCAATCCAATAAATTTGATTTGCCAGTTGACTCAGAACACAAGGCAAAATCAATCAAAATATTTTCATTTGCACAACCCCACATGAGATCTTTTCACTTAGCTTGGATTTCATTTTTCACTTGTTTTATATCCACTTTTGCTGCTGCCCCTTTAGTTCCAATAATTAGGGACAATCTCAATTTAACGCGTGCAGATATTGGTAATGCAGGGGTTGCCTCAGTTTCCGGTAGTATTTTTTCTAGACTAATCATGGGTGTACTATGTGACTTAATTGGTCCAAGATATGGTTGTGCATTTCTCAATCTTTTAACTGCCCCTATTGTTTTCTCTGTTGCATTTATCTCAAATGCTGAGGGATACATAGCTATGAGGTTCTTAGTTGGATTTTCTTTAGCCACATTCGTGTCATGTCAATACTGGACAAGTGTTATGTTCAATAGTCAGATAATTGGACTCGTTAACGGTGTGGCGGGAGGGTGGGGTGATATGGGAGGTGGTGTTACACAACTCCTCATGCCTTTTCTTTTTCATATAATTAAATTAACTGGGGCTACTCCGTACACTGCCTGGCGTATCGCGTTTTTTATCCCTGGATGGTTACATATTATTATTGGACTTATGGTCTTAATACTTGGTCAAGATTTACCTGATGGAAACCTTAGTACTCTTCAAAAAAAGGGTGATGTTACTAAAGATCAATTTTCAAAGGTTAGATTCCGCCCCTGTATATACACGTACATATAAATGTAATCGTTATATATTACTAACACGTTAGATATATATATGGACTAATTTTTTTCGTTTTTTTTAATGTCTAGGTTCTTCGAAATGCAGTGACAAATTATAGGACATGGGTATTTTTCCTCTTATATGGATTTTCCATGGGGGTTGAGCTCTGCATCAACAATGTCATAGCAGAGTATTTTTACGACAAGTAAGCTTTTTTATTCTATCGCGTTATTTCAATTTATTGCACGTTGAATTCAACTTATATACACTATTAGTATACAATGTATACTTATATACACTACTAGTATACAATATATACTTATATACACTATTATTATACAATATATACTTGTATACACTATTAGTATACAACTTATTGCGAGCTCTGTAGCTATTTTATAAGTGATCTGATAGTTTTGATCGTACCTTGACAGGTTCAATTTGAAACTACACACCGCGGGAATGATAGCTGCAACATTTGGGATGGCAAATTTCGTGGCACGTCCTTTCGGGGGCTATGCATCGGATTTAGCAGCCCGAAAATTCGGGATGAGAGGAAGGTTATGGGTCTTATGGATAGTCCAAACAACAGGTGGAGCCTTTTGTATTTGGTTGGGGCGGGCTGAATCATTACCCATCGCCATAGTTTCAATGATCCTCTTTTCAATCGGGGCCCAAGCCGCGTGTGGTGCAACATATGGTATCATACCTTTTGTATCGCGGAGATCATTGGGCCTAATTTCTGGGCTCACGGGTGCTGGAGGCAATTTTGGTGGTGGATTAACGCAATTATTATTTTTTTCAACTACGCGATTTTCTACTGGTATGGGGCTAACGTGGATGGGTTTAATGGCGATAGCGTGTACCGTACCCGTGGCATTTGTACATTTTCCTCAATGGGGGAGTATGTTTTTTCCAGCATCGAACGATGGAAAATATAATGAAGAAAATTATTATGAATCAGAATGGACAGAAAATGAAAAACAAAAAGGGCTACATCTTGCAAGTGTTAAGTTTGCAGAAAATAGCCGTTCTGAACGTGGGAAAAAACAAGTTGTTACATCTATAGCCACTTCAACTTACTCTAGTAGTCCTGAACATGTTTAAATTATTAGACAATAGTGGCTAAATTATAAAATTAATGAATGTGTTTTATAATGTTTAATTAGTGGAGCATGATTGGTTGTTTTAATTCCTAAAATACAACCATGAATCCATATACATTATTGTTTGTTTTTGTGTTTTTTTTTATGTAATGATGTAATTTTTTTTGTGTGTTTTGTAAATATAATTGATGAGCAATAACATTTTCCTTTTAGTATATGACTCATTTGATTTACTGTTATTCTTTGTTTATTCTCTGTAACTGTTTATATTCTGTATCATTAATATATACCTTATCGCTGTGAAAGTTTATCTATGAGGTGTTACCATGAACTATTCATTTCTCTCTTTCTCTCTCTAGATCTCTTATCTCTCTCTCGAAAGTTCTTGTGTTCTTCATTCATCAAGTGTGTGTATGGATTCGATCCTAACACATAATTCCCGTTAGACTTGCCTTTTGATGAGATATTCCCAACAAGGTTTTCTCTTCGAAAAAATGAAGTATTTTTTTTAGAGAAGCACACAATTTATGTTTCATTAATCAATTTGTAAATTTATATGCAAATTATTACATATAATGTAGAATAAAAATATATGCATTTTCTAAACATAGATAAGAGAAACTAAAGACAAAAGGAGCCTATAAATTAAGCAACCCCTCAAGATAATATTTAAACAAATTATTGTTCACTACATAGCGATCGATCCCCTCTTTATTATTCAACAATTAAACAATTCTTGCATTATAATTCCTACATAACTCTTGTACCCGAGGGATACAATAACAACAATGACATATTCAATACAGTTAATAAGTAGAGTCTGAGAAGAGTATATTAGAGTATACACAGATCTTACGCTTATCTTATATGAGAAAAATTGTTTTCGCGAGATATACAGTACTAGAAAGTATAGCTTCTAGTTTTTGGGGAATCCGCAATTTTGAGTGTTTTTTGATTGAGTTTTTGAGCCTTCTTACTCCTTATCTCCACTCTCATACTTTCACTTTTCTCAATTTTAGCATAAAGTTCTTTCTTGATTTTTGTGGACGATCCTTTCAATTTCATCTTCAACCTTATCATCAACCTCTCGAACCCCATCATCATGTAAAACACTAAAAAAAAACAGAAATTAGCGTAACTAAACAACAAAATCTATCGTCAAAAGGATCTTTTATCTACGAATGATTCAACAACGAATCTCGTAGCTAATTAAAGTGTTTTTTTTTTTGTGGTGAAAGAAATATAACTATAAGTTTGTATAAAGAAAGGAGAAGCTAGATATATATGTTTGCTAGATGATAGTAGGTAGGGAATATATATATATATATATATATATATATATATATATAAAAGGATAAATTAATTCCATTAATTATAATATGCTTTATAGTACTAAAAGTTTAATAATGAATATTTGACTTTTGACAATAACAAAGTAGACAAGATAGAGATAGAGCAACCCCTAATTAAGATAATTGGTTTGAAAAAGAAAAATCTCTAAGTTCATCGGAATCGAAATTAATATGTGCTAATTTATGTGAAGATATTTAAAGAATACATATTAGAGTTGTGATCTAAAATAAGTCATAAATTTTTTTTCGTGACTATAGTAATCATCTCATAAAAGTTAAAAAAAAATCCAAAGTTGAATTATCTCATAGTATATAAAATGTCTTTCTTTTGTGCGATTGATGAGCACAAAGAAAAGATACTATAATTTTTTTTTATCGTGATGGGGTGATAAATTCACTCAACCTTTAATAGTAGGTCTTAGATTCGAGTAATCCTAAAAAATGAAATTTTTTTATTGAAAACAATTTATTTTCAAAAAAAAACTTCTCGATGTCCTCAAAAAGAATATCAGACACCGAAAAATTTGAAGTCATTTGAGCATGAATAAGAGAAATCAAAAGAAGTTTAATTAATGAAAAAATATTTTAAGATTGAAGTCAACTAAGGTACGGCAAATACGGTGCCGTAGCTTTCATTTTCGATGATTTAATTTGATTTTAAAGTGAGACAAAAGTAGCCATCATGACATCAAATTATTTGATTAAAGTCCAATAATTAACTTTTTAAATATTCTAGGTCGTAGACCAAATTAAATGAATTAATCTAACTTGTTCATATGCAATATTATGACTAATGTTAATTTATTTTGGTCTTTGAGGTTATGAAACACAAATACATGAATTTGGTTGTTTACATGTTTATAAATATATACTAATTTTTTTGAATTTAATTGACGAATTTCTTTTGACATGAAATTTAAAATTTAATGTTTTCTTCGAAAATGCATTAGTGACCAAAACTCACTTTTATTTTGACGTTTCTAGATCATTAAGTTTCGAATTCATAATTTTGATGTTTTATTGTATGTATATTATTAATATGTGTTAATTTTCCTTAATTTGGTTGGCGGACTATGTTTTAAACAAAGAGCTTATAAATATATGTTAAAAAGGCGCAATAGCAATTATTGTCATTCATTAGTGAGCTTTATTAATTTTCATACTCAAAAGTATTTGATTACGAAAAAATGTATTTTTAAATTCTAACGAGCGTCAAAGTGGGAAAATCTAAATTTTATCGTTCTCATGTGCCATAGTCCTTGAATTTTTGGTGATACGGGATACTTTTTTGTTTTTGGCAAAGAAATTTCATGGAATTCTGTTACGACCTTATTAATAGCATGAGTTGGTCTTGAGAGGCAAACAAACACATTTTTCAGTTTAAACGAGCCCCAAAGCGGGGAAAACTGAATTCAACTGTTTTTGGTTTTCTATAGTCCATAGATTTTTTGTGATACGGACTTTGAACTTGTTTTTGATCGAAATTTTTCATGGATGTCCGTTACACTTTAATTAATGATGTGAGTTTGTCCTGAGGGTCAAATAAATGTATTTGTAAGTTCAAACGAGCCTCAAAAGGGAAAAATCCAAAGTTTACCATTTTTCGTGTACTATAGTCCATGAAATTTTGGTGATACAAGATCACAACTTGTTTTTTATCTAATTTTTTTCGACGCCCGTTACGACCTTATTAATGACATGAGTTTGTCTCAAGGGGCAAACAAACACATTTTAATGTTTAAACAAGCCCCTAAGAGGGAAAACTGAATTTTACCATTTTTCGTGTGCTATAGTCCATGGATTTTGTGTGATACAGGAGGCCGACTTTTTTTTTGACGAGAACTTTTCATGGACATACGTTACGACCTTATTAATGGGGCGCATTGGTCCCGAGAGGAAAATAGATGCATTTTCAAGTTCAACGGAGCCCCAAAGCGGAAAGAATAATATTTTATTATTTTTCGTGTGCTATAATCCATGGATTTTGGTGACATGAAATCTCAACTTGTTTTTGTTTTAAAATTTTCATAAACGTGATTTACGATCTTATTAATGGTGTGAGATGGTCCTGAAGGCAAAAAAGATGCATTTTCATGTTCAACGAGCCCAAGAACAAAATTTTATGATTTTTGTGTACTATAGTCTATAAATTTTTTGTGATACGAGATCCAAACTTGTTTTTGTTTGAATTTTTTCATCAATGTCTATTATGACCTTATTAATGGCGTGAGTTGATTCAGAGGGAAAAACGAATGCATTTTCAAGTTCAAATGAGCCCCAAAGTGGAAAAAATTAATTTTACCATCTTTTGTGTGTTATAGTCCATGAATTTTCGGTGATACGAGATCTTGACATAATTCTTGTCAAAATTATTTATCGACGTCCCTTACGACCTTATTAATGGCATGAGTTGGTCCCAAGGGGCAAACAGACGTATTTTCAAATTCAAACGAGCCCCAAAGCGCTAAAAACATAATTTACCACTTTTCAAGTACTATAGTCTATGCATTTTTGGTAATACGGGATCCGGGCTTGATTTTGACTGAAATTTTTCATGGACGTCCATTACGACCTTATTAATGGCATAAGTTGGTTCCAAAAGGGCAAAAAGGTGAATTTTCAAGTTCAAAGGATTTCCAATGCGGAAAAAATCCAAAATTTCTCATTTTTCGTGTGCTATAGTTCATAGATTTTTTGTGATACATGATCAACCTTGTTTTTGGCCAACAGTTTTCATGGATATCTCTTACGAACTTATTAATTGCGTAAGTTGGTCCAGAGGGATAAATGGATGCATTTTAATGTATAGACGAGCCCCTAAGCAGGAAGAACCAAATTTACCAATTTTTAAGTGCTATTATCCATGAATTTTTGGTGATAACAAAAGTTGAGTTATTTTTAACCGAATTTTCTTATGAATGTACATTACAACCTTATTTATGGCAAGAGTTGCCCCAAAGGGAAAACAAATATACTTTTAAGTTCAAACTAGACCTAAAGTGAGAAAAATTGATTTTATCGGTGGAACTTTTTCAAGTGTTATAGTTCATAAATTTTTGGTTATACAGAATCTATTGTTTATCGGTAAAATTTTCATAGACGTCGTTAAGACCTTATTAATGGCATGAGTTGGTTTACAAAGAAAAACAAACACATATTCAAGTTAAATCAAGCTCCAAAGCAGGAAAAACCAAATTTTACTATTTTCATGTGCTATAATCTATGAATTTTTGGTGATACAAGATCTTCATTTGATTTTGGACGAAATTTTTAATGGACATCCATTACGACCTTATTAATTACGTGAGTTGGTTCTGAGGGGAAAATAGACGCATTTTCAAGTTCAAACGAACCCTAAAATTTATAATTTTTCGTGTGCTATAGCCCATGAATCTGGCGCCGGGAGCACCCAAATATTTTTTCTTAAAAAACTTTATGAGGACCTGCATAATGAGTTAGGGAACCATCACGTATACTCACACCTTTTTTTAACGCTCATTTATGAATTTATAAGCCTTTTTTTAAAATTTTCCAATTTTCGTGTATATTAGCCCATTGATTTGGAACTCAAAGCACCTAAAAAATTTTTTGTCAAAAAAACTTTATGAGGACCTCCGTTATGAGTGGGGAAGCCATCATGCATTCTCATAACATTTTTTTAATATCCATTTTCGCTTTTACAAGCCTTTGTTATAAATTCTCCAATTTTTTGTGTGTATTAGTCCATTAATGGCAACCTCCGTAATAAGTTGGGAAATCTTTACGTGTGCTCACACCATTTTTTTAATGCTCATTTTAGAATTAACAAGCCCTTTTTAATAATCCCCCCAATTTTCCATTTTTTCGTGTGTGCCGCCTGGAGTACATAAAAAAATTTTACCAAAATTTTTTTTAGGAGGACCATCGTAATGAATTGGAAAACTTTCACGCATATTCAAATAATTTTTAATGCCCATTTCCACATTTACAAGTTCTTTTCTAAGAATTCCAAAAGATCTTCAATTTTTCGTGTGTGTTAATCTATAGGCCTGGCGCCTGAAGTATTCAAAAAGAATTTCTCAAAAACTTTATGATGAATTTCGTGAGTTGAGAAACTTTCACGTATACTCACACCATTTTTAATGTCCATTTTCTCATTTACAAGTCCTTTTTTAAATTCCCAAAATTTTCTGACTTTTCGTGTGTTATTTCCATGGATCTAACACCCTAAGCATCCAAATAATTTTTCTCAAAAAACTTTATGAGGGCCTTTGTAATGAGTTAGGGAATCTTCACGTATACTAAAATTATTCTTTACGTCAATTTACGCATTTACAAGCCCTTCTTTAACAATTATCCTAAAGTCCTTGATTTTTCGTGTGTATTAGCATATGGATCTGGCGTCCAAAGAATTCAAAAATTTTCCTCAAAAATATATATGAGGGCCTCTGTAATGAGTAGGGGAACCTTCACGTACACTCACACTATTTTCACACTGTTAAAGAATGACAAAGTCCCACATCGGTGATTAATGAGATGGGTAGACTCTTTATAAGGCTTGGGCAATCCTCCTCCCTTTGAGCTAGCTTTTGGGGTGTGAGTTAGACCTAAGACCTAATTTCACATGGTATCAAAGCAGGGCCCGTCTCACCCGATATTGGGGGGCACCAAAATTAAAATTGCCCACGCACCATATGCTAAGCACTGGGCGTGATGTGGTGGGGTGTTAAGAATGACAAAGTCCCACATCGGTGATTAAAGAGATGGGTAGACTCTTTATA